GACACGACATAACACGGTGAAGTCAAAAGTATTGGAAGCGTTGTATCGATGCACGTCTGCCCATTTCACTGAAATGATTGATTTCATGTGTAGCGAATGCGCTCATCACCAGTTCCAAGCAACGCTGGTGAACTGTTTGAAGGTGAGTCGCTTTGCGTTGTTTTCAAGCTCGCTGTACGAGTAAGAGGATTATGTAATAGAATCCAGAGGCGCGCATCCACTTGATACGGATCTAGGGCGAACACACCAAAGCATTTCCATCGGACATTGCGGTCACGAGAGATTAAATGAGTTGAATCGATAATCGGTCTCATCACGCGTTCATGCAACATTCGCAGCATCGGCAAACAGCAGTCTACTGTACCAAATGCTACAAAACGTCACAATGCGTTTTGTAGGCTCTTAACTTGGGTTGCCGGCGTGCTAATTTTTACTGGTCACCTGTGAACACTGGTCGAGAGCTTGTTATGTTAGTAGTAGTTGACCAACTGTCGGTTGGTATGAAAACAGTTGCTCCAATGTGACCAAGCAAAATAAACCTCATAAGCGAGAGATTTGGCTGGGCTCGAGGTGAGTTTCTCGCAAAACAAATTTGTTTGCAAATGAGTGTATTTTGCAAACCTCGCGGTTGTTTGTACGGATTTTGCAACAGTTAATAAATAACAAGCAGTATTTGGAGTTAGACACTCATCCGCAACTAAAGATGACTTTGACATTAAACTCGGGTGCATCTAACAAAATTTGCTGCGTTTCAACTGGGCCGATACCGAAGGGATCGGAGAAATCGGGACAGATCTACACCAACATCCCGCCAATTCGCGAACTCTGCTTGTGTAATTTGATGTTAGCTTTCAGAGTGGCGGAAAGCCACAATTAAGCAGTCCTAGACAACACAATGCGAAAACAAATTCTACCCATGGTTGCAGTGTTCATAACACCAAAAGTTGTCACAAGTATTCTTCATTGTTACTTGACTGTTCTTCGTGTACCCAGACCCATTTTCAGGTCATTATGAAACTCGGTGCAGAGTAGAAGGGGTTTGTGTATATTTCGAATGGGAGGACTCAGTGCACATAACGGGATCTTCTTTTCGTTCGTATTGTGTTTCCAAATACAACTGAAGTGCATGAAACATATTGTATAGGCAACCAATAAAAGTATTCATCGACTCCCCTATAATTCGAAATTGAGTGATTAATAGGTCCGTTGGATTAGACTTCCACTCAGTTGGTTCAGCGGCACCTTACCTGGCCGAATAACTTTGGGAGCTGACTTCTGGTTGGTTTCTTCGAATATATTGTCAGGTGACTCATTATCTGGCAAACATCTTCAGTTTGCCAGTTCCTCATCCCAGTTACCAAACTTTTTCAATTTGTGGGCCTGAGTAGGCATTGTCGAGAGCAAACACTTTACACAAAATGGAATATCTAATATGTTATCCGTATCAGCACTGCTTTTAAACCCACTGACATAGAACCAGTTAGCTACCTGATTTTGAGACTGAAACACGCCTACAATTGTTCATTTGAAAACGTTGCTTTTCGAGGAGTGTGGTGAGGACAACTATTTCCGCAAATGGCTTGATCTTAGGTGGCAGTGCAACTAAACATTGAAGTTTGTAACAGTATAGACTTTTATGTGAAAGCCGGCCTTTTATAATCATCTGTTTCGTCGTCCGTATGCATCACTATCTTGACGAAAAGTAGGGCTGATCACCTTGATAAACCGCCGTTTTACAGGCAACTCTCAAAACAGCGTCACAGTTAACTGGAAGCTGGTAACTGGTCCGACACGTTTTCGCCTTTTTACATCCTGCGAAGAATATTTGACGCTAAAACCGCATTATTATTATCTTGTTTGGTTAACCGAACTTGGGAATTCCCACGCACTCTAAACCACGCAGTTTCTATCAGTCAGGCTAATCCCGTTCACTTATAATACCTTTTTGGCAAAGACGTTACGCACGAGACCACTATGCAGCAGCCAGTTGGATACTAGCATTCGAAAGTTGCATCTTTGGTTCTCTGTTTGAAGGGACGTCTGGATGGTCGGCTTTCCTCAGGTCTGATAAGATGACGAACTAACCGGTAATGTTGATTTGCGAATGGTCCTAAAATGGAGTTTCACTGGTATGCCACCAGAGTTCCAGTGCTGTTGTCAACCGCAAGACAGATCACGTAGGTGATGAATAAACGAGTAACTATGAGAGAAGTTTCTCATAGAATCCGATTCAGTTCAGTTTGCTAGTTATCAACCGTGTAACAAAGTAAGCTGGTTCAACTTGTTTCACCTTTTTTTACTTGAGAAAGAAGGAATTACGGGAAGACGCATTACGTACGTCAGATGTACGTAAGCAATTAACTTCAAATAATTTAAATGCACTCATGTTGGACGGACTGGGACTGTTACTGTGGACTTTGAGGAAGCGCTCTCTCTGAAATCCTAAATATTGATAAAATTGATAGTTCTGGTTCATTTATTTCACACCAAATCTCCTAGCTTTTCCTACACCAGACCGTACTTGTTGCTTTTGGAATGATTTTCGATTATATTGAAGAGTTTTCCATTCTTATTGCGTTGTTAGCTCACGTTTAGAACATGGTAACGAGTCTATGTCTCACACCCCGTAGGAGTTTTGAGCAAGCGATAGCTGCACTGTGAATGTGGTAACAGAGACCTGTTGGGTACGGATTATTCTCTGTATAAGAATTTCCGTTTCAGTTACAACGCGGAGTAGCACACGTCATCGTTAACAATAACGGCAGCCGAACACGCAAAGCAATGAGTTGGGACATTTTTTTTCGATTTGAACTCAGCCTGTTGAACGCTTCGCTTTTTGTTGATAAGTTTCTGTTCTGCTTCACATAATCCTACTTTTCTAGTGACAAACACTCAGCCCGATGGATACAGAAGCTTGACGAAATGTCATGATTATCAAGTTATGTGAAATTAATCCTCGATTTGGGTTGACCTGGTGCCGTGTTTTTAGAAGGGATTTTAGTCGTTTATTTCAGGGTTCTCTGATTATACGTGGTTCACTCAATGTGAGACTATGGGGCTGCTACCGACTTATCTGTTGGCTGTAGGTGCACTGATACATTGTTAAGTACTTGTTAGTATGAATGTTTGGGGTAGTGTGTTCCTGAAGCATACTTTCTGTGATTAGTTTTCCGGGGCACTTCTCCAAACTAATGACTCATGATCCTGGTAAAACACCATATTCTGTCTCCAATTCAGTGTTAACCGTTTGTCTTGCACTTTTGTGTATTCTCAATCCCACATCCTTACACCCCATCATTCTTACTGCGTCAGGCGACTTGTATTATACATCCCAGCTGCGGCACGGTACAGTTATCAAATCCTCTCCTCCGAATTGGATTGATAGAACCTTCAGTGACCTTCTTCGGGGTCACCTCTTTGACGCTTAGACCATAGATGGATCTTATCCAATCGATACCACCCATTATATCAGATAAACTTATTCTGTTGCTGCAATTTTTTTAAAAGTTTTGTTGTTGACTATCTAATTATGGGTGCTCGAAGGTCGTGTTTTTCTTTGTCTTAGACAATACGAATTCCTTCGATTCGTTTCGTTATCCTCCTTCATGGTATCGTGTTGGCAAACTTCCTGATCTGCTACTTGCTTGAAATGGTCGTCGATGGTGTATCGTTTCGGCGTAATATGCTGTACATCCGTCGTGCTTTGTTTCCCAGGTAAGTGTCCATTCTGATCGTTGATCATTGTGCAAAGTCGATCAGATTCTGCTTGTGACCAAACTTCTGCTGATCTGGGGACAAAGTTCTCATTACACATTCACAGCATGTTATTTGACTCGTTCTGGCCGTTGACGGATTTATGCATTCTGACACACCGAATACAAATGAGTTCCTGCAACCAGTAGGTCAACAATCATGTAGCCGATCACTTTTGAATATGTGCATGTTTTTACCGTGACACGCTCAGCTCACACACTTAAGAACTTGTCGATATGGTTCGACCCTACGAACGGACCACAGCCAGTTTGAGGTCAGCTCGACCACTGTCCGTAGGCAACAGGAAATCTACCGACTTCAGAGTTTCACTTGTTCCCAGAAAGAGTTGTCGCAGCAGCTATTTGATTAGCTACCCCGGATGAACTGAAATCTGCTGAACTCCTCCCTAGCAGTGCACCTCCCAATCACCAGATTCTCGATTACTCATACACAGGAATCTTGTTAAGTGAATTTTATAAAATATCCATAATTATCATGTTTACTATTACTTCATCCATTATCCGTCACGCTCACTATTAGGTTCGTTCAAATAAAGGACTATGAACGCATTCGAGAAGAAATTGACCGCTTGGCAGGGTCATGGCCTCCTATCATTCGATCAGCAAGCGTTCAAGCTCTTCCATCGGAACTCTTCAATGAAGATGTGCCTGTTGGATTAGACGACCGATCGTACAGAAGAGCTGCGTCTGTTCTGTCCTCGGAGTCAGAGGACGAGGAGCTTGTTTCACCCATCCAGATTGACTCGCCAACAAGGGTCGCTCTCGTCCCGCCTGATAGTAGCATAGAGCAATACGGGGATGTCAGATTTCAGATCGGGGATGTCGAAGCAGGCATTCTGGGAGAATCCAGTCACCGAATCAGGTCACGCCACCCTTCAGGTTGTTCTGTTGTAAGTTGATTTGTTACTCCTTGCCGCAAGAGTTTTCTACCACTACCCACTTTGTTGTGATGTCATCTGCATTGACTGCAAACACAGCAGTTTCTCCGGACATTGTAGCTGATGGCTACATTTTTTGCTTAGCTAGTGTTCACACTCACCTGATGATCCGTAAAGAAAGCTACTTCCTAACTTTTTGTCTAAGGAAAAGCGCTTCCTCATTTCACTTAGGATTGCAGCATTTTCCGAGCACTGCTAAGACAGACGTCAAATGGTATGGTATGTCATAAATAAGTTCATTTGTTTAACGGGATTAAAACGGGATACTTCCACTCCGAGGGATGGGTAGCAGAAAAGCCAATCTGGAGCCCATTGCATTTTACAGGACAATCTGGTTGGGGGTGAAGGAGGTCAAAACTCTCAGCATACTTATACCGGTTCATTTCGATGACAGGCTACCCTTCGCCTTACGTTTCTGCTGTATGGTCCAGTCGGTTCCTGATTTCTACTTGATTTGCAGAATTGCTTGGTACACAATCTGTACCTTATAGTTCATATTCTATGAGGATGGGTGAATGGACACTTTGGACAGCATCGAATGCTTTCTTGAGGCAGGGCCACACCGAAAGCTGTTCATCTGAATTTAGCTTTGCAGTCCTCCACACAGAGAAACTTCTTGCCACGCTTTCGTAGAATGACTGCTGTCTCCCACAGTTACACATTGTGAGGTTTACAACTTAAAAATCAGCTGACGTCCCTGTACCCAATTTTTATTCGCTTTCTGTACTCAGACAGTCACTTCTTGTTTGTGATATAGTATTTTAGATAGCTGCTTTGGAAAATGTTGGAAAATTTCACTTCGTTTGAAGTGGGTTATCCACTATTCGGCAAACTAATGTGTTCTTGACCAACAGCATGGTGATGCTGTATAGCGCCCTCAGCTCCGTCATCCAGGTCATTACGAATTCGCTTTCATCTTGCTAGTCTCAAACAAGCCAACAAACAATACATTTTGTCGCATATACGTATCCTAACATCGCAGCACAAACAACGATGATTGGGACTGGATGAACATTAGCACCATGAGTTATTTTATCCTATCCTTCAGTTCTATAACCACTTGTCCACACTGCAACCGGTTATATTCCAAAAATCACTGTTTTGTGATAACCCGAGTTTAAATCTTCTCAAAGTGGCAGAATGGTATCTCAGCTGTGCTCATGTCATTTCTTTTGGGAAGTACATCAGCATCACTGGGGAGCCATAAAATTCACCGCCTTTGGTTCTGGAATTTTTTCCCCGACTAATGGAATTTTGCACCCTGAAAATTGTCTTCTCGATGGTTGGTGAGCATTGTATCAGCATTTTTCTTAAAGTAATCCACCAGATTACACGGTCTGGAGGTTTGCTCCAGTAATTTCTAGTATAAATGGGTAGCAAGTCAATGCCTTAGCGCTGCATAGCGTTGAACTCTAATACAACCTCCTTACTGAGTCACATTTTTAATTACTAAATTTCAAATTCTCTTTACTTTCGACAAATGCATAAATCAATTTGGTTTTCACGGGAGACTGAACCGAATCTATGGTTTGTGATATTCTTCAAGTGATTATGCTACACCTAGACCGCCTCATGTCTCAGTTGCTACGATATTCGAGATATCGTAATATACGTTCGTAAGGGAAACTACGAACAAGGTTGCTGAATATCTTAAACTGGAAACCCAGTTGAAGTGTAAACGAGTCAAGATCTGTCCCATTTTGGTTCAAGTAGAACATGAGGTTCACGGAAAATCAGGGACTTTGCGAAGTCGGTCGTTGGCTGGCGAAGGGCTTTCAGTAACCTTTACTTATGCGTATACGCACTGTCGCTTGTTGTGCAGTCCGAACTGAACTAAACCTTACCTATTTAAGTACTACTCCAAGGGTGCTTATTTGTTAATCTCTCTGCTCTTATTACACTGCACTCTCCACTGTCCACAGAAAATACCACGTTATTATTCTCTGGAGGATGTACGCTTCCACTTCTCGGGCATTCAGGCAGCTGGTGATACCTCAGCTGGGGACAGTGAAAGTCAAGATGTGTTTGTTTCGCCCAAGCCGCAAGGCGAAGAAGACGCACCTGAACAACAGTACATGGTTGGTAACACTGAACGACGCAGACATTCGCACAGCTGCACTCAAAAGCCCACATGAACAATCTTTGCAGTACGATAACAAGCAGTTAGCTACTTATTGACTTCATCCTTGTCGATTGAATTTATCGGCCTGCCTCAATTCAAGCGCCCATGCACCTTTGGATGCGTATTGTTGGTTATAGTGACATGCACCGCATCTCTTTCGGATGCCTCCTGACCGACCACTCCGTACATTCTGCTTGTACCACCGCCCTCAGGTCAATTTACTAAATGATTTATTTGATAAAAATTGGATGGGAACTTTTGAGAACGCCAACTACTGTAACATTTGCTATTATCCTGTCGTTTAAAACTTTACTACATTTTGTCTGTTCGTATGTGATGCTATTGTACCCAACACCGCACGATACTGGTTTCCACGCACTCACTCGTCTACAGCACCATGGCTAACGGGTCGTGGTGGTAACCAATGAATGGTTTACCCCCTGTTCCAAGCAACGGAGTATAATGTAGAAAAGTCCTAGGCAGTCACAATTCCCAATCCGTAATTTAATAATCGAACCGTGAGAACAGCGAAGCAGCGCTGGTTGAGCTCTCCATAACGGAATTTTCAAATCCTGTTTTGAAAAAAATTGTGCCATAACTTGAGTTCAGTAGTCCTGAACCCGTTCAGTCCCTCTATGTAAAGGTTGTGCTATTTCCTGACATTCATCATGAATAGTTTGATGCAACTGGCGTATGTTTCACTCCTACTCAGACTACAGCCGTCCAGGGTTGATACAGCATTTATAGAGTTGCATCATATTTCCGAGTGGATAAATTCCAACCCAGTGTCTAATATACGCGCTGAAAGCTTAGTAACACGTCTTGGTGACTCAAGTTGGTGTATTGTTCACACTGGATTAATTCTTGTGACAATAGTGTGTCTTTCAGTGCCATAACCAAATAATCTGACTATACTCGTATTCGCCATTAACATCGTTGAATGCTAGCAGCCTGGCTTCCTCCAGAACTCCTGTTCCAAAATTCGTTCGCCAATCAGCTGCTCAATTGCCTACGCAATGTCATCTGCCTTAGGGAATTCTAATAAAAGAGTGACTGTTTCTCGGCCTTGAAACGAACCGGATGATGGACTCAAGGGGCTGTCACCACTGGATATGGGCCACTATCGAAGTTCTGCAGAATTTTTTGTGCGATAGTGACAGTAGTGGAACAATAGAGAAGAGGTATTATATTGTTATGGCTGTTGTTTATGTCCAGTAACCGAAAATAGCTGTTACGCTTTTTTCCTGTATAGCCGCCTTACCAACCGTAGGAAGAACGAGGGTTGAGGGAGTGAAAGGTTGCTTAAGCCTAGATTGAAGCAACCGAGATGCCGTGGTTCAAACCATGGACCTACTGGTCAGCAAGTTCACGCCTTAACCAGTGATTTACCTCGGGCCAAATATGTTTCCAGTACCTTGTGAGAAATATCCTGATCGGTGATGAATACTAAACAGCCGATCAGGTGCACGCACACTAGTTCACGTTTGTATGTTTCGACAGTATATACACCTGGCATAAAGAGCATTGTCTCAAATATAAGCGAAATTTTAACGAGTAGGCGAAATGCATGTAAAAAATAGGTAGCGGAAGAGGGTTGGTCTGTGTCTAGTGGATGTTTAGATAACTAATTGGGCGTTGAGGACTAATTGTGCCTTAGATTTGCACAAGTGCATCCCATTAAAACTAACCTAGGTCACGTTCTGCCATATTTTCACCGTTTACCACTGCGCAGAAACGACCATAAAAAACGTCGATGCTACTGGGTGCATCGCGATGAAAGCTCACAGTTCATTTAGCGAAGTACACTTATTTGTATATTCAGGTTGGTGATCAAACTCTAGCGGCGAAATAAAAACTATGGAGTTAGCTAACACCTCGAAGGTCCCATGTCGCAAGGATATGAAATTTTTTTATCAGTTTTTTTAGGATCAATCAAAGATGATGTGTAGGTTTGTCGTATGGTAATCAAATGTAGTCCATAAGTAGCGAAAACTAAAAGGCCTCTGATGGTGCCCCAGATCTCTCCCTGATCCAATTGGTTGTATCACATTTTCGTTTGTTTCAGATGGCCGTAGATTGTTTACAAGTAATTACGAGAAGCAATTGTCGAGCACGTTGTAATAACTTCAAACAGAGGAAAGGCTATAATGTTTTTGGACTGGCCGAATAAGGTCCACCAAATGGGTGTTGTCGATCTCCATACATAATGGGTAACTCTCATACTGACAGTCTGCGCGTATGCCAACAGGCCGTCACACGTGTTGCAATTGCAGTTCCACGTAAAGAACCCGCTTGCGTTATTATCATTGGATGTCCCGGTGATGTCAAACACATCTGATCATCCATTATTTTTACCTATTAGACGCTGGCGCACACCTAAGGCAACACATAAGTGTTACATGAAGCCACTGCGGCTGAGCCCATTGGTACCATGTAAACTCAGAACCACAAGACCGTTGGGAAATCTCGCACCGGTCTCTTGGCACCCAACAGGCGATCTAAACATGATGGTATTACAATGAGTGTACCAAGAGGGCACTAAATAGAGAAATGACTAAATCATTTACGTCTCAAGGGTTAACCACACTTTATTCGCACAACGACATACAGTCATAAACTACGGAAGATGCCCAGGGTAAACCGTTTAGCTTGTCATGGATAAACAGACAGTCATATGTAGTAGAGACGGTTGCGTTTTTTTAGAAGCATGCTAGTTATTTTTCCTCAGAACCATGAACAACACAATGATAGCAAGCGTTTTATGTTGCCTCGTCAGCACCAAAGCCAGTAACCCTAAAAAAATGTTCACCCTTAAACACCTACACCTCCTTTTTGAAGATGACAACGATATTTCCATCACATTTCAGATCGATAAGGTTCCCTTCAGAGGCTAATTGGGCGTCGACACTTTAAACAGTGGCCTCATGGGAAGATCTTAAGGGTTTGAATAGCATAAAATGTTGACACTCTTAGAGTTTCTTCCCTCCGAACTATGGATTCAGAGAACTTTTGGGTTTCTGTCTAAGGCTCCGCATGAGAGCGACGGCTGGGGGAGAAGAGGGGGTGCTTCTACCACAAAAATTTTGATTAAGTTGAAGGCAAGTAAACGTATTGATTTCGTGGAGTATGAACCATTTTTACCTGGCTTACGGGGATGGGTAATGTGTGCGTTGCATGGAACTGAATGGTCATCAGGGGAAATAAGTGAATCACTGAGCAAAATTGGTCAACATTCCACCAGGATAGCAGGTAACCTAGAATTTCGGCTGATATGGTCTTGTCTGTGCAAACAACACACCCGGTCGGAAATTAACAGATGAATGGAGACCCACTGACAGGCCATCATGCTGACTATGATAGCCGTGACACAGTCTTGGAACCTTGTTTCATTGGTATCCCAAACGTAATGGGTGAAGCGACTGGGGGTGAGCCAAGGAATTTCGAGTCCATTGAGAGTGGGGTGTTGGAATCAGGTAGTGTTGTCCCCATCCAGACGAGCTAATGTGACAGCCATAACCAGTATAGGGCTTCATGGAGGACATTACTGGAAAGGATTACCAGGAGCGCTGAGGTCATCCGGTACAATGTGGCCAAAATTAACAGGCAGATAAGATTGCCTGCGGCTACTAGTAGCTGCAGTAGCCAGGAGGCAGCGGTAGATCATAAAAAACGGTGCTTATTATCCTGGAGAAGGTGGTAGAAATGATGACGGGTGACCGAAGCGGACGGGTATGGTGGCTTATAGGAGGGAATATTTCTTTAGGTAGATGGTACGCTGACCAAGCTTTACAGGCACCCAAAACTTCTTCGAAACCATAGTTCGGAGGAGGGGAACTTTAAAGTAAAATTTTAGCATTTAATGGTAATTACTGGAACTCTTAAAGTCTGTCCGTGTGGCCGCAGTTTGGTTGAGAGCTGTTTGAACGAAGTAGGGGTCCACCGTGGGCGTGGAATTCGTATTTTAATTGCTGTCAGTGGCTTCGCAAAATATCGCTGTGAACTCTGTGAGTAGTTTTGTGGAAAATCCGGTTTATTTACATGTTTTCTACTGTATTGAGCAAAGAAATAATCTCAAGGCTAGATGGACAATAATTACGTCCTTAGTGTCGGCACGAAATCAAGACGACGCAGCCACACGCGACCCGTATGGGGAAGTTTTTTCTGTGGTTGCGGTAGACGTCCTGCCAAAGGAAGCCAAGGAGTTCATCATAGCTAGTAATTTTTCTGTCTTTTTTTATGCTGCTTGGTACACACCGTCGGGCGCCCGGCGAGTTTCTTATCTTCATTGGGTTACTGAACCCTTAATGGTGTCATTGGAAGAATTAGTGGGTTTATGGACAGAGGACACAGAAGTGACAGCCATAACCAGTATAGGGCTTCATGGAGGACATTACTGGAAAGGATTACCAGGAGCGCTGAGGTCATCCGGTACAATGTGGCCAAAATTAACAGGCAGATAAGATTGCCTGCGGCTACTAGTAGCTGCAGTAGCCAGGAGGCAGCGGTAGATCATAAAAAACGGTGCTTATTATCCTGGAGAAGGTGGTAGAAATGATGACGGGTGACCGAAGCGGACGGGTATGGTGGCTTATAGGAGGGAATATTTCTTTAGGTAGATGGTACGCTGACCAAGCTTTACAGGCACCCAAAACTTCTTCGAAACCATAGTTCGGAGGAGGGGAACTTTAAAGTAAAATTTTAGCATTTAATGGTAATTACTGGAACTCTTAAAGTCTGTCCGTGTGGCCGCAGTTTGGTTGAGAGCTGTTTGAACGAAGTAGGGGTCCACCGTGGGCGTGGAATTCGTATTTTAATTGCTGTCAGTGGCTTCGCAAAATATCGCTGTGAACTCTGTGAGTAGTTTTGTGGAAAATCCGGTTTATTTACATGTTTTCTACTGTATTGAGCAAAGAAATAATCTCAAGGCTAGATGGACAATAATTACGTCCTTAGTGTCGGCACGAAATCAAGACGACGCAGCCACACGCGACCCGTATGGGGAAGTTTTTTCTGTGGTTGCGGTAGACGTCCTGCCAAAGGAAGCCAAGGAGTTCATCATAGCTAGTAATTTTTCTGTCTTTTTTTATGCTGCTTGGTACACACCGTCGGGCGCCCGGCGAGTTTCTTATCTTCATTGGGTTACTGAACCCTTAATGGTGTCATTGGAAGAATTAGTGGGTTTATGGACAGAACTAGGACACAGAACAGTAGGGTTGTCAGTGATTCCAGGTTCTGGCGCAAATTCAACGGGTTGGTACGGTCTTGTGGACGCGTGTAGAGCTCGATCCGGAAATATTAGGGATATGAACTGCTAGCAAGCCATCAACCTGGGTATGGCAGTCACTGTACCGTACATG